AGAGGACTGGAGCTCAATTTAGTTACTGGCCATTGATACCTAACTGATAAATTGTCACTTTGTTAAAAAAAAAAGGAAGGGGGAATTATAATAAAGTGTTATTTGTAGTGAAATTTTTTCATATATTTCCAAAGTTCAAAAACTTTTCAGCTGGCATAAATCCTGGCTTGTGATATTTATTTTTACAAATATAGAAATGGAGTGGCATAATGAAAAAAGAAAAGACGTATTCATCTGAGCTTTAAAGATAATATTCACTTAGTGTTATGGAAATACTTAGAAAGGCTTTTTCCATATGGTAAGAGGGATGAGGGACTAAACTCCTGCCAGCCTGTTAGGAAAGGGAATGAAGTTGAGGAAGGTAGGGAGAGAAATATCCCTGAGTTGGCTTCAACTGACAAGCAAACTGAATGAGAACCCTTAGGAGATGTGGAAAACAACTATTAAAAGGAAATTATACATACAGAAAAGAAGAAAATACTTTTACACACCAGATTATGACTTAATAAAATAGACATCTATTTTAGCGCATGGAGAACGCTGGCTCCAAATCAACTTTCTTTACTTCTAATTTTAGTGAAACTTGGTGATATTTTTAGATAGTGTTTACTCCTTTCATCGTATTCCACTCAGCTTTAGAACAGAACTCAGATTTCGGTTCCATTCCACTGTCTGGTGTGGAGCCATTTATGAAAAATGCTGTGTGGAAACATTTACTTTCACTTAAGAAAAAAACATTAAAATATGTCTTTTCAAAGTAAATTTCACTGAATGTGTGTATAAAAGTGTGTGTAGATGTGTATATAAATCTGTACATATTTGAAAGGTCAGAAATGTCTTCTAAAAGACAAAACATGAACTGAAGTCCCCACGGCAACTGCCGGACGACTTGCCCACGATTACACGCACACTTGCAGTCCGGGGTAGTGCCCATGTGTAGACACCAATTGGGATGATTCCTCCTTCCAGCAGAGACCAGCGGGCCCACTGTAATCCTCTCACCTGCAGTCCATCCTGGTACTGAACAGCAGCCTGCATCGCCTCCTCAAGCTTGTCCACCCGGTCTTTCCAAGCTTTATTTAGAGAATCCCAGGCCGAATTTAACTACAATATAAATGTTAGAACTCTTTTAGCGCCATATTTTACATTGTCGACTACTTTTTAACAAATATATTTCAGTTAACGAAATTTTTAAAAAAGCATTCTGATAAGAGTAGAATATAAACCAGTTGTACCTCATCTATACTCTTCTTGACAATGGGTTTATCAGGTTCCCCACACGCGGCGATGAGTTCAGAACCCAGGTTAATAACTATATCCAGCTCTTCTTGGAGCCCATCTATTTCTTCCCTAATGGCCTGGAATAAGAAAACGACAGCCTTAGAATTTTAAGCAAAACCACACTGAAACTAAAAAGATGTACACAAAATATTAATGTTAGTTATTTCTAGGAGGTGGGGTTATAACCATTTTTGTTTTCTTCTATTTTGTAAGTTTCTGTAACACATATTTTGACAAGATAAGAGGAGAAATATTTTAAAGGAAAAATAGCACCCTTTGAGTAACAAATGCTAAATGTTTATTATAAAGACAGTATTTTAAAAATAAGAAATAAAAAATACTATAACAAAGAACAAAATTTTTTGAAATGTCAACAATACTGTAAAGTATAAAAAGACTTTTTGTTTTCCAAACCAACAAGTTTGGCAATATACATTTAAAATAGACATAAGTAAAATATGAGTTCAAAGACTTCACATCAATTCATGTATTTGTTTGTAGATCTAACTTTGGAGTTACATTTTATGTCATTACCGTAGGTAGGACCTATAAATTACAAAAATACTACAACAGAAATGCAGTTATCAGACCTTTGCTTTCATCTTCTTGGTTAAATGTATTAATTCATTCAACAAACATTAAATAAGCATGTACCAAGCCCTCAACTAGGCACTGGGGATACAAAGAAAACCAGGGTCTGGTAGGAAAGACAGAAGTACGAGCAACAGTAAGTCATACTATGTGCAGAGTGCTTTGCATGAGGAAAGTACTACGAGAACACATATGAACTAACTCTGCTCCGTATACAAGAAAGGACTGTACATGGTGCCTAGTAATTCAACTGAACATGGAAGCTCGAGCAGTCTTTTCTAGAAGAGCGGCAGTGTGCAAAGGCTCAGGTGCTAGGAAAGAGCAAAGCAGTTTTGGGGAAAGCCACTTTCTAATTACTGGAAGAGAGGAAGCTTGGTAAAGCAACAGTAGGAAAAATGGCTTTGGGATCATAGGCAAGGTCTAGGCTGGGATGTCAAAGCTGGATACCCTGTTCTAGGGAGTCTGAACTTTTTCCAGCTGGCAATGGATCTCTCTAAGGAGGATTAGGCAGCAACATGATAAAAGCAGATCTAGAGAGATGACTGGCAGCAAGGTTAGATGCCTGGCAAGGAAAGACACTCTCTATACTTTGGATTACTTTGGAAGCCAAATGAAAGAGATAATGAGGCCCTGAAACAAGGCAGAAAGACAGTGGGGATGGAGAGAAATTATTTTAAACAAATAGTCTCCAAGTGAGATTTGTGGGTACACTCTATCTCGTGCTGTATCACTGTACATTCCACTTTTGAAACCAAATATAAATTTTAACAGAGTAATTCCTAACGTTTACCAAAGGAATCCAGGTTTCATTATGGCATAACTTATTTAAAAATGAGATTTTCTGCTTACCTCTGCCGCTTCTTGCTGTTGTTTTACTACTGAGGGATCAATTCCGGGATCTTCCAGGTCCCGGATGAAGTCTTGAGTATCTTTAGTGGTAACTACCAATGACATGTGATCACACCAGAACTTTTCTGCTAGTTCCATTACATCTAGTAGTTTGGCTTCCCTTTCTTCCACCAGCGTGTGTATGTTCTCCCAAATGAAAACCATTTGGTCAAGCTTATCCTGAACAGCTAGGGAGCAAAACAGTACCAACAAGGCTATGGGTTAGCCCCATGTAAGAAACACAGCAGAATGTTTTATATTCAACTTGCTAAATATCTAAAACGGAACCAAGTTTTGGTTGACCCCAGTCTAGTGGGTATCAGTGGGACCTCTCCCAGACAATGCACGATCGCTGGGTCTCCCACTCCTGCTGAACCAAGGCTCTTCCTGACAAAAGTGGGTGCTCAAAGCTACATGAGTTCACAGCAGAACCAAGTTTGTCAAGTTTCAAGTTCACTAAGGCTGGCCTTAATCCAAAAGAAAGTGAAATAATCACCTAAGTATATTTTTTATGCTCTCCAAATCATGAACAAAGTTGTCTGTTCAGTCCCAGGAATATAACGATGTAGGAAATGTATTTTGGGCTTGCTTCTAGAGTACCCTTATCATGAATGTCCTCTATACACAACACAAGCTCTTCCTTTTGATGCCCAGCTCATGTTTCTAACAGGGCTGGCTATGGCCATGGTTGCCATTTCTGTGGCTACGGCCCGGAGTAAGCATTCTATGTAAGCTAGTGTAGTCAGTAGTGACAAAAAAAACCCCTAGGTTTGGCCTTCTAAGCATTATGCTTTAACCTACTGGTTTAAAAGGCCTGGAGAACACATTATGTTTGTATAATGGCACACTTTGTATTTGACCGATTGATTTTACAAACACAGGAAGACATTAACAAGGGATAAGCGTACACAGTCCTTTACCCTAAACACATCACATTTGTAATACCTTTTCTAAGATCTGGCATTTTTGTTATGCAATGGAACCATCAGTAAACAGCATACAATTCTAGAATTGTTTAAAAGGTCAAGTTTAATTGTTTCCTTATTCCAAAATTATTACCTTTGGCAGATATGTCTTTATCAGTGCCCCCAGATCTAGCAATCATTTCCTCTCCTCTCTGTTTAAGAGTTTCATACAATGGTTGTAGCTTTTCCATGTCTACTGACACATTCTTATTTTCACTGATCTGCTCCTTAATCTTCTCGACCTCCGCAGAAATAGACGGTGGCTGCCTCAAACGCTCCACAATGCGTTCCAGGCTCTCCAGAATCTGATCTGTCTTGTCATGGAACTAGTAGTGAAACAAAGGGATTATATGTGGGGAAACAATCTGTAACACCGAATGTGAAATTTAGATGAAAAAATCAATTTATATCACAATTAAGAATAAAATCTTAGCGATTTTATCAACATATCCATCCAAAGAGTTACATCTAGCTAGTGTATGAAGACATGACGAAAGGCATGACTTGTATGAACTCCCTATGTAGAATCGACTTAGTTTCTTAAAGAGTGTATTCATTAAGAAGTGGCATATGTTAATATATAACTGGACCACTTGACAGCAGCATCTGTTTTACTTGTTGCTTCATTCTGTTATCATAATTCAAATTAATTTTTAAAAATAAGTTCAACAAGCTAGGTGTTCATCTATTAAAACTGATTGTTTTCTTCTTTTTAATGACTATTTTGGCATCTTAAAAAATATTAGTAAATGTGAAATTCATGAACAATTTTGATTAGATTCAAGGGATTCTTTAAGTTATGCATTTCCTGAACTGAAAAATGTTAAAAAAATTAAACAAAACAAAAACTTTCTCAATGTTGTATCAGAAGTTTGTATTTAATTCATGGTTAAACACATAATCAGATACATGGGAAAATTTTAAATTTGTGTTTGCAAAGGTACCACAGACAATTAAGCAAAGTAATAAAAACTTGTTCATTCACAGGTTCTACACTATCTTCCAAGGTAAAGGAAACATCACACAGGATTACAAAAAATGGACGACTCAAATGTCCTGTATCTAATGATAAAAACCATTATCACTGGAAATGGAAAAATCTGTAGGTATTTCAAAATTCAACTTCTTAAAAAGAAATCAATTTCCAACTTCATATTCTTTTTCTTTTTATATAGCCTATCATTCTCTCTTTCTTCTTTTTGCCTTCTTGGGAGAATTTTATTAATAATGCTTTCTTTTATCTCTCCCAATGGCAAATATAGCATTCTACTCAGGATGGACACTCAATTAAATATCTGGACAATGATGGCAATAGCATAGTTTCCTAAGTCACTGAAAATTATTTTTTATTGTCCACAAGCAGGAAGAGAACTAAAAGGGGAGGACCTAAGCAAACATCACCTCCAAGAATCAATGACATCAATACCCAGATTTAATGTTGTGAAATAATTTTAGTCGAAATTTAATCAGAAGATCCAGGAAAATGCCTTTCTGTGCTCTGCTGTTTGGCAGAACTCAATTCTATTTCTAGTATAAATGATTACCTGAGTTGATTGAGAAATGGCTTCATCCAATGCCACAGCTCGCTTTTTGACATCTTCTTTAATTTGACTATAAAGGGTGTCAGCTGCCACATACTTCTCTTGGATAGAAAAGCCTTCCCCTGGGCTCAATTCCAGTAACTGTGGCCCAGTTTTGTTCATCTTATCTATATGAGGCTTGTGTTCGGCTATCAACTCTCGCAGTTGCTATAACAAACCAAACAGCTTCTCAGTATCTCAGGGTCACACCTCCATATTACAGCTGTCTACACTCCCAATGCATCCAGCTGGAAAGAAACTCCAAACAAACACCCTCCCCATCACAAGGCATTTAACACATGATGGCTCATACAACCCTTGGCCAGGAAGAGATGGCCCTGACACAAAGATTAAACAACAGTCTGGTCATGCCAAACCCCTTAAAGGGTACTCACAAAAACGCTGATTGAGTAAAATAATGAATCCCGGTTCATAATGCGTTTCATACCAAGAGCAGCACATTTTGACAAGAGCATTTAACTGCATTTATATATGTGAGCCAATATAAAATGAATACACATGTATTGCATTATATATGTATGTATGATTTATTCTACACATATAGGATACAGACATACATGTATGAAGGAACCTATTTCTATTTATTATTTTAAAATGTTAAAGCTTGCAAGGGTACAATCTATCAAATACACAGCTGTATACTAAGCATTATTTGTCAGGTGTATTTAAGGAAAAATGTGTGTCATATGAATATGTTGCATAATTTTGTCATCTAATCAAGAGATAGAATGATACGTATACTAATGAGTGGGTGTGGAATCCAAGTGGAGCCCATTCCCTCTAATGGAGAGGATGTATTGGGAACCTGAATAAAGCTGGAACATCTACACTTCCATGGATCCCAGAGCTTCCACTGAGAAGTTTTTCTTGGATCAAATCCAAAGCCATTCCCAAGGGGAGATGTCTTTGCCTGCAGGTTTCTCTGAGGCTAGCCTCCATGCAGCATTGAGGGGATCTTACATTTGTACTACATTATTGATTAGGTTCCTTCATAAGCAGTTCCTTGTCCTCACCAGAATGTGTATTTCCAAACTGGAAATACAGGACTTCCCTAAAACACTTTTGGAAAGGACTAAATAAACACAAATTCAATTTTAAAAGGGGAAGGGGTCTAATCTAACATGTTGCACATAAGAACATGGGAGGGCCACATCTATAATCTTGTGCCTGCGTGTTCCAGGCTGAGGGTTTCTTATTTTTGCTTCATATAATTAGATAATATCTTCCTGCTGCTTTACCAAATGGAGGTTGTGATGGTTAACATCAGTGATATACAATCTCATGGAAAAGGAAAAGCTGTGGATGTCACACACATTCCAGTTTCAATATTCCAAAAGGCACACTTGGATAACAAGCTTACACTCTGAGTTATCAAGAGACTCTCGCATAAAATGCAACAGCTCTGCTGGGATTTCTTGAATTGCCTAGAATCTAGGTAGATCTCATCTGTGCAGCACCACCACGAGGCAACTTGGCTTGGGGAGTAGCAAGATGAGCCATTTTTAGACTGTTATATGACAGGCAAGAGAACATCTATTGGATTCCACTTGGGAGTATGTGCGTATGGGAAACAGGGCCAATAAGAGGTGCCTTTTGCCTCAAGTGTTACAAAACGATTCTTGGCAACATACTGTCATAGGAGTCCAGTCATGCTGGAGATTCCTATTGTGACTTTAAGATTATCTATCACTTGGTAACATGGCTCTTGGAGCCATTTTTCATTCCTGGCCAGAATGAACTAGATCTTCTCCAAAAACAGACAGATAGGATGTTGTGGAGCTGGAGAAGAAATGCCATTGTGGGAGACCACAGATATTCTGGAATGGTAAAGGTTTCAGTTTAAATAATTTGAAGACTTGGCTACAAAGTTCTGTACATATACAATCATGAATTTGTTTTGAGAGCTTAATGATATTGTAAAAAAGGAAAATTAACTTTGAAAATTTCAACTGAATAATGAGCTTTTCCATACTATTTGATGTTATGCTAAAAACACAGCCATTCAAATCATCTGCAAATTGGTACAACCTCTATGAAAAACAGTATGGAGATTCCTCGAATAAATAAATGTAGACCTACCATTTGATCCAGCAACCCTGCTGCTGGGTATCTACCCAAAGGAAATGAAGCCATTTTATCAAAAAGACACCTGCACTCAAATGTTTATTGCAGAATAATTCAATTGCAAAGATGTGGAATCAACCTAAGTGCCCTTCAGTTCATAAGGGGATAAAGAAAATGTGGTATATGTATACCACGGAGTGTTCAGCCATAAAAAGGAAAGAAATAATGTAATTTTTAGCAACATGGAGGGAACTAGAGACTATTATCCTAAGTGAAGTATCCCAGGAATGGAAAATCAAACACCATATGTTCTCACTAATAAGTGGGAGCTAATAGATGGGTACACACAGTCACAAAGCAATATAAAGGACATGAGAAAACAAGGAGGGGGTAGGACAGGAGGGTGGCTGTGGGATAAAAATTTACCTGTTGGGTACAGTGAACCCTATTCTGGTGATGGGCACACCAAAAGTCCTTACTTAAGACTTGTACAAGAGATCCATGTAATAAAAACCTTTACCCCCCTAATTAATATTTTGAAATAAAAAAAATTTAAAAATTCAGTGAACAGACATCAGGATTTCTGCCACAAATAAACCTTTACACTAAAATTAAATTCAATTCCACATAGTTTGTCTTTCTCTTGCTGAATGATTTAGATAGAACTTCCTAAGATTTCTATTCTGCACTAGTGTTCTCCAAAACTCTCTTCTAAATAAATACTTCAGTTAGAGATAGTCTTCAGTGCCAATACATTAAAAAAGTAAGATTAACAAGTATGTCACATATTCCAAAAAATGACGTAATATACCCTGAGTTAAACTGCGCTCTCTCTCTCTCTCTCTCTCCCCCTCTCACACACACACACACACACACACACACACACACACACACACACAGAGAGACCATGATTAGTCTCAGAGTACCTCTTGTACAGATCTGGAAGAGCAACTAGGTTCACAAGTCCATAAATAACAAGAATTTCAGGTTTTCTCCTCATAGACTTGAACCCTCTCTCACTCAAACCGTTACAAAATTTTAAGCCACTGCTGAAATGAGGGCTTCATAATGCCATTTCATATATGTTTAAAACTGATATAATTGCAGTTGTAAATGTACCCCCCAGTTTATTTATCAACACTTACAGGAGCAAGAACTTAAAGAGTTCCAGGTAAATAAGATGAAAAAAAAAGGGAGGGGAAACAATTTTTCTCTATATTTCAGTATTTTTCCTTTTCATAGCTTTCATGATATTGCTATTTTGACAGATTCATTATATTGTACATTTTCTCCAAGCTCAATGGCCTTGTCTCTGGCTCATATGAGTCTAATCAAGGCTCTTCCATATATTTCTACTCTTTATTTATATTTTAGATATACAAACTGAAAGCAATTTAATGTGTGTAAATTGAAAGAACTTCAAAAGCTTGTTTATGTACATTTTAAAATGAGAATTATTTGCTATCCAGATGGCCTATATTTCATACTATTTATAGCAATTGTGATGTAATTAATGATACATACAATGTGGTCTATCCAAACAAGTGTTCTCACTGTAACCCTAGATAAGAAGGTAAGCAATTATGAAGGAAGCAATTATGCAGACCAAAACATAACATTACTAAAATGTCCTATTCATGTAAGGTGTCTAACAGCATTCAAAAAAAACACCATAAAAATGATGATTCTTTTTTAATGGGGAGTACAACATTCTCTTTCACACCAAGCTTACCCGATGTTCTTCCTGCTGTTGTCTTAGAGTTTCATATTCAAGGGCTGGGGCAGGAAGTTGAGAGATGATTCTTTGTGTTTCTGTGAGCCATGGCCAAAGTTCTTCGTATGTTTCCCAGAACTGGTTAACCAGGGACTGTGCCCGTTCTAGCTGCAGATACCTCTCTGAGTTTATCTGGCAGATGGCATCATACTTCTTCAGTACCTTGTCCAGTTTTTTCTAGAAAGTAAGATGATGAAATGTGTTTAATGGGTCAGGCCAAGTGGCATCCGTACTGCAGAATGCTTTGTCCAGCACTGTACACATGGCACAGAGTAGGCGCTCAACAAATGTATGTTAAATAAGTAAATCAATAAAAGCTATTTAGATTTTAATCATTTCCTTGTATGAAAGTTCATTTTAAATTAAAGGGCCTCAAATATTTATGAATAAGACACTGAGCTCTCCAAATATAATAAGCAAAATTCTCCAACCAGTCTCACAATGTCTTCAAGGTTAGAAAACAAGTCTCATGTGATTCAAGTAACATTTACCTTATTTTATAAAAAAAGAGAAAGACTATTTTTTTGCAAATGAAATTGTAAGAACTGCTAGGCAACAAAATTAATTATATACATTAGAATCAAAGTAGAACATTGTGCCATACACTGATTTTATGGGAAAGTCACAGTGATACAGATTATGATATAAATTTACAGCAAAAACTAGTAACAGAAGATAAAGCACAACAGCAACTCAACAAACCACAGAATAACAAAGAAATTATTTCATGATGATCTGTATTTTTCATGTCAGAGTCTTTATAAAAGTAATAAAGATTCAATTAAAAACAAGCAAATTTCCATTGCAGAGTACAAATAAAGTATCAGTATATTGTGCATTCTGGTATTTTATCTATGATATACCTTAAAAGCAGTGAATATTCTTTAAAATGTGATTTTAAGCATAGAGATTTATATACATATTTTGCCATATTTCTCCTACCAGAAGCATTAATAAATATTAATTTCTTTAGGCTGCTCAGATGTCTGAATATGAATTGAACATTTTTACTTGTGGCTGATTTTCTACCAATTTAAAGGATCATTAAAATAACACAAACTGGATGTTTCCTTAATTACTCAGCTCATTTTTTCCCTGTATAGCTTATTATAACTTCACACAAAATGGATTTTAGCATTAGAGAGAACCACATATTTTGGTTTTTGTTTCAGTTCAAGAGGCCCAAATGTCCCTGAAGCATATAAACAACAGTTGACATATATAAAAACATAATTTATACCAATAATAATGGTAATAATACAGCTAACATTAATTGAATGCTAAATGTGTGTCAGTTAATCAAGGATTCAAACCTTAATAGCCTTTATGCCTATTAAAATAGATTGTCCTCATGGTAATTCTCTTAAGGAATATTCCTTTCACTGTTATTCTGTAAACTTGACAAATGCCTTATTTAAAACTAACGATTTCACTGGCTAAATAGCAGCTGCAGATAAAGGAAAAGTGCTTTTCTAGGACTGAAAGCTTAACACATGCTGTTTCTTCAAGAGTCCCACCACCAGCCCACAGACAAGATTATACCTTCATTGACTGCTTTTCCTCTTCACTGCATGTGGTCATGACTTTATGCCCAGATTTAACAAGTTCATCAATAATATCCTTGTGTCTCAAAATCTCCATGGTGAATGTCTATGATTTACAAAATAAAGACAAAAACATTAAAAGAAAAAATAAGAAAGCATGTGACTAAAATGAAAACAATTAGGTGAAGTAGTTAAAAGTAACAAGTAACATTAGAGGAGTCTTGAAAAATAAATCATGCAAGCACATTTTATAGACTTGGAGCACACCAGCAAATAATTTAGATGGCAATTAGAAATGTATTTCTTCACCTTTTGAACCTGCAGCTGAGCAGAAGTCTGGTCTTGCTCAAGCCTGATGTCACCCAGAGACATCAATTTCTTTTCTGTTTCAGTAATCCAGGATAACTCAGCATCAGCTGCTTGGTCAAACTAAACAAAAGATAAATAATTAGGTCAGCAAGTTCCTGTAACTGGTGTCAGAAAAATACCTATCTATGTTTCTTTTAAATATCCTTAATACACAAGTGGAAAATCTGAGCTTATCTCTTCATGGTATCCTGAAATAATTCATGATAATGACTGAGTTATAAAGAAAGGAGAACTTTCCGCAGAGTAATTAAGCACAAGCTCTTAAAATATGTTGAATCCATAACACTGAATTAATGATTTTAAGACAGCTAACACTGTTGCATCCTCTTCTTGCAGTCTTAATAATTTGCTCCTTAGGAGTATTATCAAATATAACAGCTATAAAAGTCAACAGCTAGGTACCATCTTTTAATCATTTCACCCGTCACCTCAACTCATATGATATGCAGATAGCATTCTGCTATCACAGTACATGATTCCTAGCAAAAAGAATGAAACAGTCCCATTTATTTATTATACCATTGTGTATAAACATATTTGTAAATATATGTCTCTATGTATGCAGCGTATACTTCCAAATGATTCACGTATAATTTTTGAACATCTCATTTAATAATGGCAGAAAACACTTTCAAGAGCATTCTTAAATATTTTAAGAAATTTTATTATCCTGATCATAACAGTAATTCATGAGCACAGTAGAAATTCATAAAGCACAGAAAAATATACAGGAGGAAATTAAAACTTGGAGGTAATACTGTTGGTATTTTAGTGTATTTTCTTCCAGAAGTTGAAAGAGAGGATTTGTGAAGGTCTGGGATAACATTGTATAAACAGTTTCATATCCTGCTTTTTCATTTATTATGAACATTTCCCATGTCATATTCTTTTTAAATAATATCACTGTATTCTAGCATACCTGGATATTTTCATTTAGGCTCTCTGCATTTTTTGCTATTATATAAACAACCTTGTAATGACTATCTTTGTGCATAAGTTTCTGTTGGCATCTTTAATTAGTTTCTTGGTGTAGATTCCTAGAAGTGACTGCAAAGTCAAAGAGCATGAACATTTTCAATGCCTTACATCAGATAAACCCATTGCTTTCCAGGGCCAAGCCGTTATCATATGTGAATAAAGTGGGGATGTGATACCACAAGCACCAATGATGAATGATAACTAACAATGGCCTCCGCTGGAAGAAATAAAGGAGAATGAACATTGTGGGTACTCAAGTCCAGTACTGATAGATCTTTTAACTTTTCAAAAGAAGCTGGAAATCCAGATGTGGGTTGAGGAATAGCTAGGTTAGGGAAAAGATGGGGAGAGATAAGAAAGTAGATTAAAAAATAATTCATACTTTTAAAACTCTATGCAACTCTATGCCAACTAATGGGAAGATGGAGTAGATGAACTTTTCTCTGTTCTTCATGATAAGTATGCCCAAAAATCCTGGGCATTATATTATATATAGAACAGACATAAGAAGACGCCACAGAAAGAAGAGAGCAGAACTGCTACGGACCTTGGGCCCCAAGGGATAACATGGGGGTGAGTTCTCTGGGTTTTCTTTTTGCCTCACCTATCCAGGATTGGATACTAGAAAAACTGGCAACACCGATGTGCACAGACAAAGCCCCAGACAGCCCTGCTCTCTCTAGCCAAAGGACCAGGGAAGGAGTAGCCTAGCAAGACAGAAAACTTTCAGATCATACTTACTCTATTCCAACCAAACACTACAGAAGGAAAAAACTGTAGCCCCAACCACACTCATGCCGAGAAAGGACGAATGGGTAGCCTAGACTTCTACCCTCATGAGGCTATGACAAGGTCCCCAATACCCCTGCTGGGTGACGTTAGAGAAGGCCAATTAGGGAGCCAGAACCTTCATCCCCACTGGCCAAAAACAAGGCCCCAGCTCACAGTGTCACTGGAGACCACAAGGAGAGCTGGAACTCCCACTCTCACCCAGAAGTGAGGAGCATACCCCTCACTACCAACAGAGGCTGAGTGGGGAGCCTGGACTTCCACCCCCACCTGGTAGCACCCCTGGCTTCTTTTCCCAGAGTGGTATCAGAGAAAGGCAGTTAAAACACAAAGTTTAAAATCCAAGACTCACAACATCATATAACAACCAGGAAGATCTCAAACTGAATTGAAGAAGATAATCACATCGATGCCAATATCTAGATGGCAGAAATGCTAGAATTATCTGGCAAACATTTTAAAGCAGCTATGATAAAAATGCTTCAACAAGCATTTTTGAATGTTCATGGTTGAAACAAATAAAAAATTAGAAGGTCTCAGCAACAAAATAGAACATCTCAGCAAAGAGATAGAATATACATATAAAAGAAGATGCAAATGAAAATTTCAGAACTGAAAAATATAACTGAAATAAAAATCTCAGTGGATCAGCTCAGTGAAAGGGACAGAGGAAAGAATCAGTAAAGTGGATGACAGAACAAAAGAAACTACCCAACCCAAATTGAATAATAGAAAATAGACCAGGAAAAAAAAAAAAAATCAACAGAGCCTCAGGAACCTGTGGACCCGTAAAAGATCTAATATTCATGTTATCATATTCTAAGAAGGAGTGGAGAAAGAGCTTGTGGCTGAAAAAGTACTCAAACATTCTTGAAATGATGAAAGCATAGACATGGAGGCTAGATTTGTGGTTGACAGGAGTTAAGGAGAGGGGAGGGGAGGAGGCAGTGGGTGTGGCTGTAAAGGACAACATGAGTGATGGAAACGTTCTGTATCTTGGCTGCATCAATGTCAATATCCTGCTTGTGCTATTTTACTATAAAGATGTTACCACCAGGGAAACTGAGTAAAGGACAAAATCGGATCTCTCTGTATTATTTCTTACAGCTGCATGTGAATCTACAATTATCTTAAAACAAGTTTAATAAAAAAAAGAAAAAAGAAAAACAATTCTGTGGGTAACATCTGACCTGGAAGTTCCTGTTTGTGTTCTCTCTTTCAGATATACACTGTCGGATTGCCCTTCAGATAGAATGTATTAATTTATACTCTCATAAGCAGTTTTGCTGTACCCCCAACGATATGGGGTAGAATTTATTTTTTAATATTTGTCAGGCTTAGGGGTAGACTTCCTTTAGTTATAAAGTCTCCAAGAAACCTCTTGAAAAAGTCTATCTGGCTCAGTAATTATGATATTTAATTTTAAATGGAGCTACTCATTAGCAATTATTGATTAATGTGAAAACCAAAGAAAAATATTTCATCAATGAATTCAGCAGCTTCAGGTGTAGGGAAAGAATCCTCATGAAAAAGAAGTGAAAGAGTCTTCTAATGTGGATCATTAGTTTTCAAGGCATATACAACGAAGCTGCATATTTAACAGTCCAGGCCTTTCTACCTGAGTGTAAAAGCTGCAAGATATTGGAATAAAATTTAACAGTCATCAATTTTTTTCTTCTATTGTCCCTGAAAAAATAAAGTGATACATCACCCCTCTCGTTTGTGTGCAGGCTGTTAAAAGTATGACAGCATTAATATGACAGTTCTATTAATAATAAAGAAAGTCAGGCTGTTAAGAGTTAATATTAACTTAACACTATGTCTCCTCCCTTAAAAAAAAAAAGTATTCAGTGAAAACCAGTATGATGATACCATCTAAGTTGCCAAAATGGAAAGCTGAAACTTAAACAATGTTTCTTTGACCAAGTCAAATATTTGTTCTGCTAAAAGAAAACAAGTCTTCAAGCAGAAATATTTCCCTTCTGCCATTTGAGAAAATTTTTTTATTAAATTAGCAAACATTTATTGTTAAGCAACAAATGGAATAGCCAAAGGGTCTACATGAAGCAATTTATAGTGAGGCAAGGCATTCTAGGTCTATGACTCATTCAAATAACTGGTTAATGTGTGTATTTGCAATGGACTATAAAAACGGCTCATTTTACATGTGGCCAACATGGCGAGCAATACTACTGGACCAAATTTTAATAAATGTGTTTACTCATACAAGTAGCAAAATTTGACTTAGAATAAATTGTTGATAATCTCAGCATCCATAACTGCATTCCGGGCAGTATTTTAATAGGTAGCATCAGTGGAGTCTAACCATCAACTCTGGCTATTGTAACTCCTATTACAGCTGAGCTAACATTTCAGCAATTTCCTAAAAAGTTAGTGAACATATTATAAATGGCTTTCTCTAAATATTCCTGAAAAACTCTCTAAAACAATAGCAGCCAGCATCCTACTGAACACACTGTTAAGTGCTTAACTTGCAATATCTCCTTTAATTCTGACAACTGTATAATGTAGGTATTACCATGAACTAACTCTACTTGCAGCTGAGAAAAATGAGGCAAAGGGAAGTTACCTAACTTCCCAAAGATCATCCAGCTAGTAAATGCTGGACCTGAGCATCTAACCAAGATGGTCTGACTTCAGGACTGCACTCTTACTTGCCATGTTTATTGTTTGTGTTTGTATATAATCTGGGCTTCATGAATTCAAAATATTCATGTGATTTCACCAAAAATGATTCAAATTCCACAAGAGTCAATAAGTAATAGGTTTTAACTTAGTATTTAAACATCATACTTATCCAGAAAGTTTCTGGTGACTGGAAATAGAGGACTAAGACAAAGTGGTAAGCAAACCTTAACCTCAAGGACATCCTTTCTACTCCCTTCCCCTGACCGGTATCTTATCACTTTCTTTTGATTAGCATTTCCTTCCACTTTGCTTCTGATTATTTATAACACAGCCCGTATTTTCCCACCCTCAACACCTGGAGGGTCTAAACAAATCTCATTTCCGTAGGGGGATGTTTACTTCTGGTTCTTTAAAAGAAATAAACAGGTGGTATTTTTCTCCAAGGCTGATTCCTAATGAACCAATGAGCTGTTTGTTTTAATTGCACCCAAACCAACAATCCCTGGGCCTTTATAACAGGGTTATTATGGGGCCCACTCACATAAGCCAAGCAATTAAAACTGCCGAAGAATGCTTGGGATTCCCAAACCCAGCGAGATACACATATTTTAGCAACTTCTGACAATTGTACATTTATAAGAGGCAAAGGATGATGAAGTGCTGAGGTTTAAACAAACAATCAGGGTAGTCTGAATTCAGGATACAAGTCTGTACATCTTTCAAGCAAAAGTGCCTTTCCACATTTCCACAGAGCTTGTAGAAAGAAAGCAACAAAGATATGCTACTTTGTGTAGGTTTAAAATGCAAAAATATGTAGTTTGTAACTTAGATAATGGCATGTATTGTGAGAGGAGGCAGTTTAGCTCAACATCATTATTTACTAAGCTGCCTTGTTCCACTCAGATTTTTCCTAAATGTAATGTAATGGGCCCAATTCTTTAAAAAAGAATATACTTTTCAAAACATCAGTGCCTGCAAATCTGTAGAGTCGGACGTAGGGGCCTGTTGACGGGTAGCACCTAGCGCATTCAGTCCTCAATCATTCGCACATCACTGAGGCTGTTCAATTATTTCTGAAATAATAACAAATAGGGTCCGCATCCCTATGATATCAAAATTCAATGGCATATCTTTTCCAAACTGTTATTATGACATAAGATTAACATGAAAATCTAACCGTGTCAAATCAGAACATTTTTAAAAACTAAATTTATACAAGTTGGTTACAAAGTATACGCTAATTAGAAGATATCTCTACGTTCCCTTCTCTTTTTTCAAACTTTAATTCTTTTCCATGTTTTTCCTTGCATCTTTCATGTGATGTTTGGAAGTCAATACACTATGGGACAGTGGCCTGCCAGTTTGCAAAGTGCTTATAATTTTGTTAAATTCCAAAATGCAGGTTACAACATTATAAAAGAGGTATATCTGTATATAAACAACTTTAATACTGGGAAAAATATGAAATATCTTAAGAGAATCTTGCTTAGAAAACCCAGACATTTAAAATCTAGTCAAACTTAGCAAGGTCATTCAGGGACAAAACATTAAATCTATAACTTTAGAATTACCGAGTATTGTTGAAGGCACACATCCTTACCCTATCACTTATGGGTGTGGGTATGTTGGAGGAAGAGGTCTGGGGAAGAGTCTCTTTGTTAATAGAACAAAATGTGTGTGACTATAGATGTATTTTAAAAGGTGAACTGACATCAGATCATGTCCATATTTCATACGGAGAAGAGACACAGAATGGTAGATAAGTTATACAACATAAAACAGATAGGATAAAATAGGTGGCTAACATCCAGGTCCAAAGGTATTTTTTTTTTTCACCATTTCTTTTTACATTTCATGGATATATTATCATTGGGTAAAACAGAAAACACTATTATCAAACTGTACTCTGGTTCTAATTCCAAACATCTATAAGCGAGCAAGCTTATAAAATAATTTCAGTGATATATTAGCTCCTTTATAAACTTGGAAATTATGCGTTTAGAAACTTATCTTTTAAGTGCAAAATCTCTGCCATACCAGAGAGACAGATATCTACTACCCTGTTCTTAAACTTGCCTACACAATGATGTTTCATGACCCTTTCAATATTACATTCTCATGTTCCACAATCCTTATAGCTGGAAATATTTTCATTACATACTTCTGTTTTGCTCTAATAATGGCACCTTCCTTCAGATTATTGAAGAATGTTAGGGAAAAAATAGATCACCCCTCAGGGTTTTTCCTCTCTATATAATTTATAAGGAGGCACAGTAGTGAGGTAGAAGGAGATCTGGATTAAATTCTAGTTGCAACCCCACCACTTACTGGCCATGGGACCACAAGCAAATTCCTTCTCCGCATATTGTACACTGTACATGTTCCTCCCAGCTATAGATACCTGTCTCTGTTTAGCCCTGCTGGAGGTATTTCATTGGACAGACTTGCAGGTATTTCAAAGGAATGAAGATACGCATATACACATGAACAACCAGAAGATATTAATGGCATTTTAATATTAGCTGTATGACCTACTAGTAATAAGACTTTTAGTATACACATATTCATTCTCACTCTCTGTCTCTCTCAAAAGGAAGGCAAGAAGAATATAGACCAAATTGCTTACATATTCTTTCTTTCATGAATTTTTCTGTATTCTTTCAGAAAATCTCAACATTTCTATAAGGAATGATTATAATATAAGGAAAAAACTCCAAATAATTATTTTCTTATAGCATATATGAATATTTGTTTTGGGGTTCCAGAAAACTTCCCCTGACCTGGTTACTTTCTTTCCCTTTGGAAAACAGCTGCAACACCCTGAATAGAATTAGGCCACAGTTAATGACCTTGGCATGTACCAGAGCTTACTAACCAACTGAAATTCAGCCTGTGACCTTGCCCTTATTACAGTCTTACTTTATTGAACTAATCAACCATAGTCAATTTCTCAAGAAAATCGTAATCCCAAGAGTACAGAATCCTTGTCTTGCTATTTAAAGAAGTATTCAGTGCTAGTTCTGCAATGTTGACATAAATCCCAGTGAAAAAAAATTCAATATTTTTAAATAGTCGAATAAACTTCACAAATAAACACACTTATTTTCCTATAATAATAGGGTGTATAAATTCCTCTAAACCTGAAAAACATACAAAATACATTCCTCAAGCGTGAATCCCCTCCCTCACAAAAATTTCTTAGGCAGGGCCTTTGCTATCATTGTATTTCATCAGTTTTTGTGATTCTAGAGCACGGCACTAAAATGAGGAGTGGAGCATTATGTTTTAGAACTATATAAATTACACTTTTACGGTAACATTAGAAAATTAATTTTGGATGCTCCCACAGAATCTGCTTGATTTGTGTTTCTTGCTTTTGGCTTGTACAAGTATAAGCTGAGTCACATCCCTTCCCAAGCTCTGCTCTGAAGTACAGAGTGATATCACACTACCCCCACACACAAAGTTTATAATAAGTCCGATGACTTAATGTAAATATTCACAGAGATTTCAATGAAAGTTAATCAAACATATATTATAAACTTCTTTTTCCAGGACCCCATGCATTGCCCACAGCACTCTGAGAAAGCCGTGGTAAGCACTGGGTGGCTAAAAAACTCTTGGAATATATACACTCTGTGCGAGTCACAGACAGGTCAGAAACTATAATTGTTTCCCCTTCGGTCATCTTCAGAAAAAAACTCCACATTACCAACAAAATAGTTTCCATTTTAAAAAGAATACTTTCTCTTTGCCATAGTTCTTTGTAAATCAACAAACAGTTAATACTGACTTACATGGTAACTCAAAACATTTACTCACATACAGGTCAGACTTAGTCAAGGCATAAAATTAATTTTAGCAATATGCATATATGTAGACAAAAGCATTTTGTTTGGAAAGCAGGGCTGATCTTCCTAGGGTCTGACTTGATAAGGATAAATCTCTGAAACAGTGAGGCAGATGGCTGTTAACAATGTACAGATTAGCCTTGCCCTGGCACTCAGACATCCAAGTAGCCCAGTCAAATTCTTTTCAAATCCACCCTTTCATTTTCGAAGCACAACAAATGAATGGAAACACTATTCACAGGCATCTTTGTTCAGGTAAAGGCTCTGGGAACAGCTGGAGAACATTTATTGCCTAGACAACAAACCACTTGTCCCTACCTGCTGTGATCTCAGAATGGCGGCATCGATCTCCTCCACCTTCTGAGTGATGGTGTCGCTCACTAATCGGTAGCGCTCATTGTCCTCAGCTACCATTTTCTCAAGTCCTTCTCTTGCCCTCCATGGTACCAGTTCCAGCAAAGCACTGCTCACTTCGTTAAGGGAGTCTAATAAGGCTTTGTTGTTCTTAGCTTCCTTCTGCAGTTCCTGAAAACACACAAATATGTGGGTGCCACTTAAGAGTTTGAACAGAATTTTCCTTTAACTGTTCTTGGGGCTAAAGTCCTTTGCAGGCCAATAATGTGATGCTTTGGCCATCCCCTTGGTTTCAGTTAAGTTAAATAAACCTTTGTTATTTAAAGCTATTTTGCAAAAAGGAAAGTGTTTCCTGAGAAGTTCAAAGAACAAATCATTTGTCGACATGGCAAGATTTTATCTTTGAAATTTAATATAAATATTTAAAATTTGGGAAACAAAACGAAGCAAGTTAACATGTATTATTCTTTGCTTTCTGGGAACCTCTAAGTAATCAGGTAACAGAAAAGTTAAAAAAAAAAAAAAGGAGGAATTAAGCCAGAATTAAGTGACCTTCAAATTGAGGACATACTGGCTTTCAATCATTCTAGCAGAATCATTACAGGCTCAGTGAGCCTGACCTCACCAACTCCCCTTCACCCATGTGTGATCATACTTCAGGGATGATAAAAACAGAGACCGATATCTTTGCAAAGAAGAATCATTAGCATGCCAGCATACTATTTTTGTGATATAATTAGATATCCCCACCCCATGCTATTTTACAGAAATATTGTTATTCCAACAAAATTATGTGTATCTCTCAAACAATGATCATTTTCCTTTTTTCCCTGTTCTCATCATTCTGTCTCTTGTGTAATAAGACTCTTAAAACAAACCATAATATACTGTTTTCATCTCTGGGCTCCTAAAAGTTTAAACAGTTGATCTGCTGCCAATTTCTGTTGGGTCCCCACCCACCCAGGCATCTTTCAGCATGTTAGTAATGACACAAGACAAATACAATTTAATTCCTGTATGAATAAGACTCCTTGAAAGATAATAAACTGATCCAAAACGTATAAATCAGAGCGTACTTTTTGTCTCACTTGTGCTTGGCTTGCTGCTTCTCCTTGCAGAACCTGAGTTTCATATGAAAGTAATTCCACCTCCACTTTGTCCAGCCAGGTACACAGCTCTTCGTGCGTCGAATGCAGCCGCCTTGCAAGCTGCAGTGCCTGTTCCAGAGTCTTGGCTACATCGGTGCTCAATTTAGTAATGTCTTTGTACCTTGCTTTAATGGCTTCCAATTTATCTTGAATTATTAAAACTTCATCACCTAAAATTTCAAAGGCATGTTATTTCTTATGAAAGGACAAAGTTGGGGGTGGGCAGGTTCTTCAGATATTATGGCTCACTAATGAAACTTTCTGGGGGGGAAAAGGAGACATTTTTCTAAAGATGATCTGACCCAAGAGAAGCCCTTTTCTAGATTTTAATCTTTCCCAAGATTTCAGGCAAATGGAAACCATTCTGAAAAATACAAATGTACAAACTGGAAAGGGCTAAGTGCCTTTAGGTATGTGCAAGGCAGTACTTTTTTATCTCTGTATGAGGCTTTCAGTTTTCAAAGAACAGGGATTAAAAACCACCCGAGTTCAGATAGTGACCTCATGCATGGCTTTAAAGGTGGGTTACTTTGGGCAAGATGCTTAACCTCTCTGCTCTTAGTTACTCATCATTATTCAACTGCACTATTCCAGTGGATCCTTAATTGCTTCTGCCTCATTTTCAGATACACAGAGAAACTGCATCCTGAGCTTCAGACTTCTAACTCAAGGCTCTAGATATGATATTGAATTTCTCCAACTCATAATAAATGGTACTTGCCCCCACTCCATACATATTGCTGAACTGGACATAGGTACAGTGAAATTCCTATGGCCACAGGAATCATTAAAACAAGTTAGTCTCTCTGAGTTGTTCTAAAATCATTTCACATAAATATTAAATCAAGCGTTTGTTTTCTTAGTGATTCAAGCATGAAGAAATGAAGCCCGTGTATAGCCATGCATATAACCATAACGTGCGTTACTGCAATGCAATCTAGCTTAAAAAAAAAACAACAAAAAAAACTGTCTACAGCCTATGTGTTCATCTGCCTTCCACAAGTGGAAAACTAATGTAACTCTGTCGTGGGCTTCTCTGACCAGCTCCTGTGCCAAAGTGCTTTATGAGTAACACACACAACTTCCACCAAGAACTCAAGGGAGATCATGAGAAAAAGGTGAGATCATATTCTAAACCCTCCCTTGATTGGTCTTCAAAGCATTCTCCAGAATGAAGTCTTGGAATGGCCCCAAAATTATAAAATGTTTTGTTCCCCATCCCTAAAATATTTTGAAAACAATGCAAAATGCTGGTTGCATGATTATTTGATTTGAAAGATATCTCACCTGTGGTTTGTTTGAGTAGTTCTAAACCATTTAGTAATGCCTGATCTACATTTTGTTTCCTGAGTAAAATGTCCTCTTGCAGAACCTAAAAACACAGGCATCAGTTTTTATGTAGGAGAGAAAAAATTAAATCAGCATTAGCATTAGTTAATCTCAGAGAACTTCAATTAGGTTTCACAGAGATATATTTGAGTAGATAGCTCAAATTTTGAAATATTCATTATTGTTCCCACGTTTATGCCTCTTCTTTTCCCCACTATGCCCCACGTCCCATGTTCATACAACTCACAGCATTCTCCCTTTCTGAAAATACTTAGGGCCCTGTGGAAATGGGCTATGTGGAGGTACTGGAGTGCTGCCTAATGATGGGTCTTTGTATCCAGCAATAAAATAGCAAAATGAAAACTGAAAGATCCAGCCAATAGGATAAATTCAATCTCTTTTTAAAAATGACTTCATTAAAAGTAATCTGTATATATAGGCAAAGTGTTTTTTGTGTACAGCGATTCATCCAAATCATAATGGACATAAAATAACACAGAAACAAGGAAGACTGAGAAAATAATGACAACTGAAATGAAAAAAATAAAATGAAATGAAATAAATCAAAATACCCGAAGTTCAGCCTGCTGCTTCCACAGCCCCTCAGGGCTGTACTCCTGGACTGAGAGCTTGCTCAGTTTGCCATGCACTTCATTCAGCCAGTTCATCAGCTCAACTTCATCTTCCCCAAAAATCTTAGCATTACATAAGGCCTGCTGGAGGAGCTCAGACCTGCTGTGACTTTTCTCTTGAATCTCAATGTACCATACTTGAGAGAAGTCTAATTTATTCTGCACCATATCTTTGTCCTCCCTGGAGCTCAAAACCTTTAAGGACTGGCCAATGCTAACAGCCTGGTGTAAATGTTTATTGTGATTGAGGATGTCATCTTCTAAGGCCTAAATAAAGTTTAAGAAAAGAAAGAAGAAAAACAGAAAGAATGGACAAATAAAAATGAAAACATAAATAAAACTAAAGCATGACATTTGAAATGGATTTGGTTTGCAATTATGCATAACACAACAATAGTACGTAACGTAAATTTATGTCATAAAAACCATAAAATAAAAATTGAATCTTACTAATGTGCGAGTCATATCTTACTTTGTGCTGTGCAATCTGGTCCTCAAGTTTAGATGCTTGGGTTCCTATGGGTTCACAATTCACCAGCCTCTTTTCCACGGTTGTAAGCCACTCATTCAGTGGTTCTAAGGTTTCATGAAATTGCTGTGCTACCACTGAGATACCTTCCAACTGACGATTCCTACAAATGTGCCAAGATAAAGGTCATTTAGGGATGAAGAATGTGTGAAATATGCAACAAAAATCTTCAGTCATGCTCCTGAATTCTATTCTCAACCCTTTTGGTAGAAACTATCAAGGTTAAAATCTAAATCTCTAACATTGAAAGGGCATGTTAAAATAGTATTTCAATTAAATAAAATTAAAGTTGAACAACAGATCATCCTCAAGTGCCTGAATCTCATGAAAGTCTGAAGTAATCTTTTGTAATAATACTTCTAATAATTATAGTTATAATAATAATAGCAATGTTATAATAATAACAATAGCAATAATAATGACAATAATAGATAATATTTATTGAATACATATTTTGTGCCAGGTCCTGTTTTAAGTGCTTTATGTATTAATTTTGATTGGAACACAAGTTCCTGAGATTGCTTTTAATCAAATGGTCAAAACTGGATTCAAATTTTGAAGAGCATACATATCTTCTACCCCCACCCCCTCCTTAGTGGAATGAATAGTGATTCCTACTTTATAAAAGGTTCACTGTTAGGAATATTTTCCAAAAGCAATAGTTAATATTTTATGGATTAAAATATCATGAACAGAAGAGAAATATTCCAAAATATTCCTTGGACTTTTACTTGTAGCTTGAAGTACTTTTAGAAAACACATTCTTTCCTCAATTGCAGAGGATTCATGTAAATTAAAACTGGCTTCCACTGTTCTCAGTGTTTTTAGGGCAACTGATTGTGTCAATTTGTATACAGAATACCTGATTCAGTATCAAATCCAGTGCATAATTTCTGCTGGGATCAAGAGTTGTTGTCTTAACTGCTTATGAGTTTAACTCTTAGGGAATTACATGATTTGGGAAATTAGCTTTCTATGGGGAAGAAGGGAATTACGGAAAATTGGCAAAAGCTACTAAATACAATTTCTGTATCAATATACCACAAACTATATACACGTATATTTTTTAAAACTTTCAGGTGAAATACATTTGATCCTAAAAAAAAATGAATAAAATTACTATATCCTTTTTAACTTCTGGATTATCAGTATCTATGACTCTTTTTCCTAAATTCAAATATCTAATAATCTAGAATCAGTGGAAATAACTGTTTTGTGATTGGGTTTAATTTCCTATGATTTAAATTGTGAACAATAAATCTGGGTGTGAATCATAACTATTACCAACATCCCTTCATTTAATATCACTGTGAGGAAGGTTTTGGGAAAAGAAGACCAGTTATGGTAGGAAAGCAGAGATCTAGACATTCATTCATTTTTTAAAAAAATTACTCAGAGTATCTTCCATCACAGCCAAGGCACATCCTAAGGCATTACACAAAAGGGTTAATCCGCTGACACACATTAAGGACAACATGAGACTTTCAAACTCCTTAGGAGCACCTCATTCTATGGTCCTAAAATTATAATTAATTATACTTCGTAATTCAAAATTAGGCAAATCCTGCTCTTCACCATTCTAGTTCCAAAAAAAGTAGAAATTTATGGAACATACTCATTCAGTTCAATGGTTTATCTATTTTCAACCCAACCAGCCTAGATGGCTACTCTTCAGGGTAGCTACTACTTAATGCTGGTCAATGTGGCTTCAAACGCAGAGAACGAAATACAGGTTGAGATTTTGTAATAAGAAAACTGCTGAGAACAAACACCCAATGGTGCCGCGCTCTAGGCTTCATAGCCTCCATGAAGTTAGAGCACCTTCTACCTGCTTGGTTTCCCAGCTAACCCCTACTCCTCCCTTAAAACTTAACATAGCTGTCATTCCCCTGCCCCCCAACTAGGCTTCTTTAATATGCTCCCACAGCGCCTTGTACATTTGCATTAAAACATCACATTTGTCATTACTTCTCAATGGCTATAAACCCTCCTAGACCGTACCCTACCTGAAGGCAGAGATGATCTGTCCACCTCACTCCTGTAACCCAAGGCCTAACCCAGTGCCTGATGCACGCATGGTAGATAGGAAGCAACTATGTAATAAACAAAGGAATGAATCACCCTCAAGGAAATGTTTTTGTTAAAACAAAGAGTTGGGTTATAACTGGTGATTACAAGACATTAACATTAGAGGAATGAGGAAAAGGGCATTATAGTCTTTGCTATTTATGTCCACACACATGACAAACATAGGAATATGATGATCTGAAGAAAAGTATCACCAAAACACAAAATATCAGTATGAGGCCAGTGCTACTCTCTGAAAAGAATCGCAAGTATGTAAGTTACCTTGTTTCAGCTTTATTAAGCAATGCCTCCCATCTACTATCCAAGAGACTCAGCTGTTTCAAAATCTTCACTTTATCTGCAGGCTCTGCTGTTGCAGCGATTTTTTCTCCTTCTCGTTTGATTACCTCCACAGTAGATTTGCGGTCATCCAACAATCTTTGGAGAAGCTTGAGAGGAAACATTAAATATTTTTTTAAAAGGCAAGGGAATAATTGTATAAACATGAAATAAAATGTGCCCTAAGTACATCCAATCTGTGACAAAATATATATTTTGTATGGATGCACATAAAAAAGGATCTGAGAAGTGGGGTTTTACATTTTACTTAATGATTTATTATTATTGTGTCAGATACTGTGGTAGGGGCTTTACACAGTAGACAAAACTAATATTGATAAGGCCACTAGATTCTCTATTGATTTTTTTTTTTTTTTTGAGACAGAGCCTCGCTTTGTTGCCTGGGCTAGAGTGAGTGCCGTGGTTGTCGGCCTAGTTCACAGCAACCTCAAACTCCTTGGCTCAAGCAATCCTCCTGCCTCAGCTGGGACTACAGGTGTGGGCCACTATGCTCGGCTAATTTCTTTTTGTTTCTATTTTTAGTTGCCTGGCTAATTTTTTCTGTTTTTAGTAGAGACGGGATCTCACTCTTGCTCAGGCTGGTCTTGAATTCCTGACTTCAAGTGATCCTCCTGCCTTGGCAAGACTCCCTATTACTTTTTAAATATAAAATAATAGCACAGAAGTGCTGCTTAGGATAACCCCACTGAATCATGAGAGAACTGCAAAATCTCCGTTACTGTAATGAAATGGAAATGCCCTAAACAGTCAACAACTATCTGCCTTGTTGAGATACAAAAGATTCCTATAAATCTTTACTGTGTTCAAAACCTTTTCCTGTATTAAACAATCCATTACAGATAAGGAAGTTAAGACTCAGACCAAGTTCACAAGTTAGCAAGGCTAAAACTAGAGGCTCTTGGCTCCTTTTACTAGGTGGGACTACCTCCTAAAATACTTTAAGGATGAGGACTAAAAGAGCACTTAAATATTATTCCCCAAAGGAAGACAGGGTAGAAGATGTCTAAAATCTCCAAAGCTGGCTAAATAAGACTAATATTTCAGGATTTAGCAGCAGAATCAAAATTCAATTTAATTCCAATTAAGCATTTCAAGATGCCTGAAATGGAATGTTTGATATAGGGAGCAAGGACTCAGGATTACCTTGCTTTCATCTAATCTACACAAATCATTCATGAGCAACTGCTATGCACATACACTGTGTTAACAGCAGTGAGGATGGCACAGGTGTATAAAACACTAAATATTTCATTGGTTCCTTAATTGACCCTGACTGATAGCTAAGGATTAAAGATTTGACAGTCACCCAGAAGTAAAAAGCTAGAAGAGTATTTTGAGATCAAGACCACCAAGGAGGCAAGAGGAACTTGTTTAAAAAGAAGGGGAAGAAACACAAACTGTGTTGACACAGGCTAAAGTCATTATACAATCAAAGTACAACAGGTGGTTTAAGCAGCAAGGAGAACTAATTAAGTGGATTACTTTTGATAAATTTTAATAACAAAGCTAGCAATTAAGAAAGCAAAATCAACAAATAGGTTTTGTTAGCAAAGCATCATTTACTCTGGTAGTTAACTTCAAATTAAATTGTAAATGGTAGCAGTTATATTATTCAAAAATCGCACATATACAATGTGTTTCCAGTTGTGTTTCCTAAATCCTTACCTTCGAATCTATTTCTAATGGGTATCATTTCTGAATATGCTAAAGTTTTCAAAGAATTTTTAGAGAGTTAGAAAAAATGCTTATTATCACTAATCATCAGGGAAATGCAAATTAAAACCACAAAGATATCACTTTAGCCCTGCCAGAATGCCTATTACTAAAAAGTGAAAAAACAATAGATGCTGGCGTGGATGCAGAGAGAAAGGAACGCTTATACACTGTTGGTGGGACTGATATTAGTACAACCTCTATGGAAAACAGTATGGAGATTTCTCAAAGAACTAAAAGTAGAACTACCATTTGACCCAGCAATCCCACTACTGGGTATCTACACAAAGGAAAAGTAGTCATTTTATCCCAAAGACACCTGCACTCAAAAGTTTATTGCAGCATAATTCACAATTGCAAAGATGTGGAATCAGCCAGTGCCCATCAATTCATGAGTGGATTAACAAAATGTGTTGCATTTGTGTGTGCGTGTGTATGTATATATACACACATACACACACACACACCATGGAGTACTACTCAGCCACAGAAAGAAATGAATTAATGTCTTTTGTAGCAACACACACACACACACACACCATGGAGTACTACTCAGCCACAGAAAGAAATGAATTAATGTCTTTTGTAGCAATTTAGATGGAACTGGAGACAGTTATCCTAAGTGATGTACCTCAGGAATGTAAAAGCAAACACCACATGTCCTCTCTAATAATTAGGAAATAGTCGATGGGCTGATGGGCACACATGGGCACAGAGAGAAGTAAAAGTCATTGGAAATCAAGAAGGGGGGAGGAGGGAGGGGTAAGAACCTACCTAACAGGCACAATGAACACTATTCAGGTGATGGGCACACTAATAGCCCTACCTTAAGTATTATAAAAGATATCCGTGTAACAAAAACATCTGTACCCCTTAATATTTTGAAATTAAAAAAAAGAAATTAAAGTAAGCAGTAAGTTTTCAATTAAAAAACTTCTGAGACCAAATGTGGAATGTTTTGATGTTTTTTTCCGTTTTTAATTGACAATAATTGTATATAGTTATGAGGGACAATGCGATACTTTGATCTACATATACACTGTCAAATGATTAAAACAAGCTAATTAACATATCCATCACCTCACTTACTTATTTTTTTTTTGTGGTGAGAACCTTTAAAATGTACTCTGTTAGCAATTTTGAAATATATAGTACTTTATTATTAACTCTGCTAAGCGAATAAACCGAACACATAAAGATAAATTTTAAATGTTTTACATTTAAAAGTGTTTAAGTGTAAAAAAAATTTTAATTACTTTAATTTTTAAATTAATTAAAATAATCCACTTCCTTCTTTTTATAAGTTCTACATGGAAGAAACCTTACCAGTGTCCTCCATGCCACGCCCCTTCTCACGTCATTTCAAGTCATGGCTGACAAACTACCACTGAAAGCATCATTAAATGCTTCATAACTGACCACGGCCATCACAAGCAAAAAAACTGTATGTGTGGTCCCAAGTAGTTATGATCCCTCGAAAGACCGTGTCTTCCCAACTTGGTCCCATTTTAGTAGTGTCAAAAGACTAGTACATTCCTCAGCACATATGAATCACGTATTTGCCTCTTTAGTAATAAACAGGCTGAACCATAAGAAACTGTCAATATTTAGTCTATAAAAAAGGCAATTTTATCCGGGTGCAGTGGCTCACACCTCTAATCCCAACACCAAGGGCGAGGCAGGAGGATTGCTTGAAGGCAGGAGTTCAAGAACAGCCTGGACAATATAGAGAGATTGCACCTCTACAAAAAATACAAAAATTAGCCAGGCGTGGTGGCATGCCCCTGTAGTCCCAGCTACTCCAGAGGCTGAGGCAGGAGAATCACTTGAAGCCAGGAGCTTGAGGCTTCGGTGAGCTAGGATGATGACACTACACTCTAGCCTGGGTGATAGAGCAAGACGCTGCCTCAAAAAAAAAAAAAAATTAAAAAAGGCAATTTCACATGGATCAACCTAATATATAAGGGAACAATGATACTGCCATCCAAATGTCATCTTGTCAATGAAGCCTTCCGTGACTATGTGTTTAAAGTTGCACACATGCCCCCTCCCTTGGAATACTTCCTGTCTCCCATCCTTGTTCCATCATGTCCTGATTCCTTTCCCCATCCCTGCTTTATTTATCACTTGCTAACTTAGCACAATTCACTTATTTACTTTGCTTATTGTCTCTCCCTCCATGTCCCTCTCTTCTCACTAGACTTTAAACTCAATGAGAAATTTTTATCTTTTCTATTTAGGAATGTATCCCTAGCACCTGGAACAATGCTTGGCCCACAGCAGATGTTCAATAAATACTTGTTGAATGACTAATAACAAAATATTGTCTATAGCAGCAATAACCAATTAACTAGGATATACTATTAATAAAAATAAAGAGAGTCACAAGGCAAATTTTTATTTTCATTATTAAGATTTAATATGAAACACAGTACAAAAGCACCGCTCACTTACCTTTTGCTCTTGTATCTGGGCCTTCACCACTTTGAACTCAGCCGACGGGGGCTTCTGATTGGCCACGAGCTCCTCAGTGTCCACCATCCAGCTGAGCAGGGACTCCAGGGCATCCTGGAACCTCCCACAGTGCAGCAAGGCCTCCTGCAGCTGGGCTGCTCGCTGAGCCACCTGCGAAGTGCCAGTTGTTTCAGCTTCTTATTTTGTACAATGAAATCTGCCCACAGGTCACCACGTTTCATGTTTATTTTCCCACATATTCACAAATTTCCTTTCCCTTTTCCCTTAAAGTTACCCAAAGCATTGACAGTGGGCAGGATAGGAGCGGAAAGGAGACAAACTTTAGCTAGTAAGTCATGAAAATAAGGTTACCATTACAAATAGTCAATGTAGAAGACTAAATCTTTGAGATTTTGGAAATGTCCAATACACTTATGATTAGCAATGATTCAAATATTTTAAAGTTATTGTAAGAAACAATGCATTAGTCATTTTTATCATTTGACTTTTTTATTTCCTATTGGTGAATATCAGGGATAATGATTATTAAACAACTAAGATTAAAAGAAACTATTATAGCAGAATCACAATGACATTTTGCTAGGTAAAATAACTACAATGTATCCAATTAAGTTCTGCTAGCTCCAAGCTCTGAAGTCCTTTTTCAACAAACCAGGGCCTTTGTCTTCTAGTAAATGGACTCTCTGTGTCCTACATAGAGATATCCTATTGCCTTTCTCATAGATCTTTTCCTTTTGGACTGAAAAAGTAGTTGGCAAGATATTTTAAGCACTATGGAATATGTTTACACCTGACACCGCATTCTAATTGTGTTTAAAGAAGCACTATAATGTGAATCAGACTTTAAAGAATGATAAATGTAGTTTTAAGATCTGGCAACTAGTGAAGATTTCAATGTCGGGAAAATAGCAACAAGAATCACCACACCACCACCGCCGCCAAATAATGCACTGCCATCCCATAGCAATTTTCTGACAACTTACGTTAAATGAAGAGCTTCCTGCCATTGTGTGTCAGCATTATCTCCCTAAGACATCAGAGCATTACTTCTTGCATTTTCCCTCATAGACATTTACAAAAATGTGGGATTACATTTTATAAGTAAAATAGTATTTGAAGATGATGGTCTATAGTAAGGGTAGCAAATCCTTCATCCAGGACTGATAGAGAGACACAGCCTCTTTTGCTTGTGTAGTGTTGACTTATACAGTGTGAAATTAGTCACCAACATTTGAAAATTGGAAGGTTTCAGATACAAAGTGAGATTTCCATGTTCTTTTGAAAGTAAGTAGACTATTTGGCCACAGTGAGCCTATATCCCTACATGTCAATGATATGCTGAAACTAAGTAGCTACCTGTACCCTTAGAGGTGCATGTGATCCCCTCAACACAGAGCCACAGATCATGGCCATCTGCCATCATCCTGCACTGTTACATCTGCAGCCACGTCTCTATCAAAGTCAAGAAAATAGCAGGGAAAGGCCCTATCTCACCCATCTCCCTTCTTTCATTTATATTCCCTACCAGCTCCTATGGGCATCCGAGTTTGAGCCATCCAGTTTATAGCAACATGAAAAAGTAGACATGTTTAGAAAAGGTTGGCTACTATAAATACGGTTCATGGGCGCAATAAATGATTGTGAATACTGACCAACAAAAATGACAATGAAGAGGATGAGAAAATTACCTTCTTATTGAGAGTCTTCCACCGTGCATTGACGTCATCCAGGTCATGCTCCAAACCCTGAGTGCTCGTGCTTTTAGCAGCACTCTGAATAAGGCCTTGACCTAACCAGTTTACATCCTGCTGTTTAACCTGCAAGGGTTCAATCTCTTCTTTCTGGAATACCTGCAGTTGAAAGAGCAATAATTATATGAATTATATTATCTAACAATCATCAAAAACATAATGAGCATTTCTTTAGTCATTAGGTTGTAGAAACTATCGATTATTTCAGAGATAAAGCTAATTTTTGTTGCTTCTTCATAGGTCATAACTACTTTATGAGTAACAGTAAGAAATCAAACTCAAGTCATAATATATTAAAAGCATTCAGGAATATCAAAGAATGACAGTCTAAGTGCATTTAATCAGATTATTTATAAAACCAAGAAGAGAGTATATATGTCCTCCCTTTATTGCTTCATTGTCATAGCATGAGGAATTTCCTATTGTCCCAATATAACTCTAGAAAAGATTTACAGAAAACGCTAAGGAGCAAAATGATAAGTTGGGACCAAGACGAGCCTTACTGGGCAAGGAGTCCTTACAGACTCTCCTAAGGATGGCTGCTACCAGCTGGCAACTGAAGCTTGAGACTCAAACTGGAGATAGAGAACCATCAACAAGAAGATGAGGAGCCAAGTGGCCAAATACACGGCTTGCCAGGAGGGCCAAAATACAGAGATAGGAAAAGGAAAAAGACACAGGCATGCGCTACAGTAGCATGGATCCCTGAACATCTAGCCCCTCAATGCCTATCAAGATGCCCACGGGCTTGCAAGAAGTGTGAAGACGTCACCCCATGGATCTGATCACACACATCACCAGCACAGCAACTCTGTTTATTCTTGGGTCACTGCCAATGGTTTCCTAATACTCTCTTCCCCTGCCCCCATCCATCCCATCCTACTTACGGTCCTCCAGTTGTTTGTGACTGGCAAAGGCTCTAACATGTTAGATTACAATGCAAGCTCCATAAAAGCAGAAATATCTATTTTCCTTGTAAGTAGCTCTACACCCTGGGCCTACCATAGTACCTAGCATGCAATATGTACCCAATACTTACTTGCCAAATTAATGTCAGTATAGAAAAATTATATTTCTATCTTAGGTGGATGGCATCAACCTCGTAAAAGATAATACTAGGGATAGATACATATCATTTCTTTCATAGATAACATAAATGTTTTTAATACAGGGCTTGAAGATGCTATGAGGAAAATCAATTATTTTAACTAAGGAAGGAAAGTTCCAGACAGTTATTAAGGTAAATATGGTTTGGGATTCTGAGTTATTATACTAAAGGGCACGATATAAATATAGCAATGATTGGACAGTTAATCAGGATATATGGAAACATAATAAAGGCAAATATTAAAACAACACTTAAGAAAAAATTACAGGCACAGTATGAAAAATAATTTTGAAAGATGTTGAAACTGCCAGAGGCAAACTCTCCAGACTCTGGTCCAAGGCCTTGCATACAGGATACTCCTGCGTTTCTGTATAAATGAGTAAATTAAGGAACAGCAAACAAATTAACAATCATTTCCTCTAAAGTCTCCTCCTAGCTAAAATCCTAAGCTGCTTCTTCCACAGAAAATCCATATAGACAACTTCCATACTGGCTAATTGTTTCTAAATAACAATACTCAATATAAAAATCAATTATACATAATCAAATAAATTATAAGATTCTCCCAAATTCAAGAGAAAAAAGAAGTTTTCAGAATTTTTCAAAAAGGCATAAGTCAATGGAAGTTGCAACAGGTGGTGAAGACAGACTTTGGCATTATAATTCTATGTCTTTTCTATACCACTAAGTTACTACTTCTAGAAACTAATAGCTTTGGATATGTTTCACTACTTATCGAAAAGTAGGGGCTATAAAGAAACTGCTATATTTTTAATTCCAGGAACTTGTATGATAAATAAGGATTCAGAAAAAAGTTTTATTCTCACTCTCAGATAGTTTTCAGGACAAAAAACTAATAATAATGCTCTTGTAAACTGCCTTAACCTCTGATCTTGGCTTTAAATTAATTTTAGAGGTATATATCAGAGCAGGTCTAGGTGAGTTTGGTAATTTTCCAAAGTGCCACAAAAAAATATACTAAGAATTTAAAAAGATAACTACTAAAGAGTATATATTTCTAAGATTTAATTACTTTCTACGAATAAACTGAAAAATCCTTTACAGGAAAAAAAGTCCTTTGCTAAGCTTTTAAATTAGCATGCCATTTGCCGTATGCATAAGGAAAAGGCATAACTAACAGGCACAATTATTTCACAGATTGAGAAGAGGAATTTTTCTGATATTGTCTAAATTCCTCATCTCTCAGTAGTAACAAAATACCTACGAAAAGAGAGTTTCCCCCCTCAATCTAACCCATAGCATACAAACTCGAAGAGAAGCTTAAAATAAAATAAAATTACCTCTGAGGCAAAGTTTACCAGAAGAGTTTAGTAAAAGTACCAAAATAGCTGAACTTCAATCTGAGTGGGAAGAAAAAAATTACAGGCTTCACAAACAACCTCTACTTATTACAAGGCTGCACCCTTTGCTTTCCTACCTCATTCACCACTCAACAAAAAGTTAGGAGCTACAATGCCTGCAAAACACCGCATAACAACTCTACTCTCACGTGCAGAGCTCCTGAGAGAAATTTTTCAGCACATTAAAAAAGTCCTTAATTTGGGTTAAGTACTTTGTAGACCACAACAATATAATATTGTTTGTACTTTCATGACTAAGCCTGTTCAAGCTTAATAAATCCCATATAACAGCCCTTAAATGGCACTGTCTTAAACCACAATTTGTATAAAAGCCTAACATTAACATAAATTCACAGTGGAGACATTCTAAATGACGGAGAATAGCCACCCTCTGCACAATCCATAGCAGGACCCTAAACAGCTGGGAATAATCAGTCCTCTCAAAACAGTCCCAAATTAATTTGTTATAATGATTAATTTGGTATAATGTTATCAACGAGTGGCATCTTTGCGGGGTGCTAGTCAACCCCCCCCAAAGAATAGCCTAAATGTGAACATTATTAGAAACACTAGTGACCACTCTGAAACAGAACCACAAACTTTTGGCATTGCAGAGTTCCACATTTCCATTAATTACCTGAACCAACTGAAAGCCATTGCAGACTGTGTCCAATATGCCTGCCTGGGCCACTGTTTTTCTGGGCTCTGCTGGCTTTCTTACTGGTGTGAATTTCAGGGAGCACTTCATATGGATCACCTCCATCTCCTGGGCAGAAAGGGGAGCCTCCACGTCTTTGGATGCCATGTTGATTTCTTCTGAATCATATTGTGTCAAGAATGACACATTTTCTACTAAACTTGTGCTGCCACCATCGACATCATTATCCTCCAGATCTGTGTGACCGAGATCTAAATCCTGAGGGGAATCCTTCATAAGTTCCCTACTTCGTGCTGTGAGTTGGGATTCTCCTGGTCCATATGTTTTCCCCTCTTCTCCAAGGTTAGAAATATGCTCGCTTTCTCCATTTCTTGGCATACTTAATGGATCATACTTAACAGTACTCCCTTTCAAATCATTCTGCAGGCAACAATTTTCATCATGGATTTCCCTTCGACGATTCACACTTTTCACTTCCTCTAATGGAGAAATATCATGTAAAATCATCTTGAAGTTTTCATCAGGGTGGACACTTCTACATGAAAGCAGTGGGATTTTCTGTTCACTAATGGAATTAACAGAAAAAAATGGCCTATATTGCTCTGCTATATGAATATCTTCAGCAGAAGACAAGCTTCTAATTCGTGACTGGTCTTCAGTTAAAATGCCCTGTTTTTCTTCCCTCTCTGCTGGAGGGCTACATAAACCAGAGTCATCCTCCTCCGAAGTTAGAGAATTAGTACCCCATCTGCACTTGCTGCCCTTGGCAACAGTATCTGACATATCAGTAGGTTCAACAAAAGAGCTTTCACTTTTGTTTGCATAATCCATAAAATTGGCTGGGACAAACATTCGCCATGACCGTCTATGCTCTTTCTTTTCTGCATGAGATTTGGCTTTGGGAAATCCTGTGGTTCGAATGATATCACTATTTAGTTTGAGTGCATCAAAGATCATCTTTTCATCTAGTTTGTTAGCTTCACGACCTCTCACTTCAAATACACTGGAAGAAGTGAGGGCACCATTAGAGCATAAAGAGCTAACATCCAGTGTTCTGTGACTGTAGGGTAAAGTCCGATCTGTAAAATGCCTGGAAGACAGGCTGCCTTTTGAACCAGAGTCTATCTGTTCATTTAGTCTAACAGTATCATAGATTGACCGCTGAGGGACATAACAGTCTTCAATATTTAGGTCCTCCTCTTCTTCACCCTTCCCTACACATGGGGGATTCTGACGTAAACAGTCTGGTCTGCTGAGTGGCTTCCCCATTTTGTAGATAGTTAAAACAAATATTGCAGCTCTTGATACAAAAAATAAGAAATCAGATAAAGCATCTTTCAAGAAAGTATACTTCTGAACAGAGCTATGAAGTGTCTTCAGCATAAAGACATATGCTCAAATAATATATGTCATATGAGGTGTTTAAGGTCATCAGCAGTGCATCAGTATAAATGCAACTATCCTTTTACCTGGTTGATTTTAGGACGATTTTAAAAAATAAAGTGCATCAAGAACAGAGAACAGAAATCTCCTTTGTCCACCTCCCCGGACCCCAAAGTTGCCTTTCACACACTCCAAAACACAGAAAAAAAAAAAAAAACACACACACTTAACAGTGGCTCAAACACTCAGAACATTCCATTGTCAGTCCATTTCCCTTTTTAGTCTAATTTTGCATCTGAGATTTCCAGATTAAAATTTCCAAATGAGCAAGCATTTTAACAGGCTGAATGTTAATTTCAGCAGAGCTCTGGTTAACTGTAATCCACTTAAAGATGGCTTGCAAAACTCCATCTCCTTTATAAATAAACCATGCTTCAGAAACTTAAAAGGCAAACACAGGGACCGTGTATTGTTCAGATCAAGGCACAGAACAAATCTTCAGAGAAAAATAAGTCTAATGTTGTAAGAAAGTTAAATTTTTCTTTTACTTTTTCTAAGGAGGTTGAGTAGCTATAAATAATCTTGATTT